ATTAAAGAATGGAAATAATAAAACAATGAGACTAAAGAAAACAAACATTGATATTTTGGGAATGTTTTGTATGGAAGACTAATAAATGCACGATAAATCATATTCTTTACATTCTCAATAAGAAAATCTAATTTACCAATTTTTTCAAAACCAACTATAATGTCAGTAAATGTTTTTCTTTCTTGATCAAATTCATTCATCCAACTTTGTTCATTAAATTCATATAATGTTGATGCCTGATAATTTATTTTATTTAATATTTCATAAATATCTTTCTTTTTCTCTATAATTTTATCTGTAATAGTTTTTTTTGTTTCATTTGCTTTAACAATAAGTTGTTGAGAACATTGGATAGTAGATAATTTATTTAATCCATTTAACGCACGATCAATCATATCAATAGCTTGAATTGGGTCAATTTCAGTTGTATTATTTGCGTCTTCGAGTAAATTAGAACATGAGTGAATTTGTTCTAACAAATGTTGAACACTACATAAATTTCTATATCGTAAAAATGAAAGAGATGATTTTGAAGCATATGATTCTAAAGTAGTTTTGATTTGATAGAAATAGGTAGTAATTTCTGTTAATTGGTCTGCAATATTTCTGTATTGAGTTTCAAGAGCATCAACTGTTGATAATGAATTTAATAATACATCTGATTGTTGCATTAATTCGGTGTATAAACTTTCATCTACAATTCTCAAAAACGTTTTAGATTTGAGAGAAGCAGTAGGTAAATCTAAAAGATTTGATTGTTTACGTTTAGCAAATTCTAAAACTGATTGAACACCAGCAAGATGATTTTTTTCAAAGTTTTGTTCAATTATAGCCTATGCTATGAATTATTTAACGTTTATTAAAAACTACAAAAACAAACTTGTCCAAATTCTTTTGTTAACATTTCTTTAATCGCATCAACACGATATTCATCAATGTCACTTTCTTGTTCAACGTCTTGGAAAATAGTGAAGTCTTCAGATGTCTTTTGTGTTGTTGAACTTGGGTTATAAAAAATATCACTAGGAAAGTCTTGTAAAGCAGATAATTCAGAATTTATTTCTATTGAAGGGATTGAAGTGTATGGAAGAGTTTGTTGTTTAATGACGACATGAGAAGTTTTTAATGAAGGAAGTAAGGCAGCTATTTTGTAAATACCTTTGAGCTTACAGTCTTCGTCAATTCTTATCATAAAATAACTTAAAAAGTCCAGTATTTTCAAGATGAAAAAAAGACAAATCAAAACAAAAATTGAGAGGATTGTTTCTTTTGTAAGAAGATAAAAAAGAAAGAGAAATAAACAAAACAATGAATTAGAGAAAAAGAAGAGCAACATTTAAATTAAAGACAGTAAATAAAATGAATAAAACACTTACTGCTAACATTGGAATAATATAAACTTTCTTTGGAAGATAAATAAATGGTAAAATTGAATATCCTAAATAAGTGATATAAATATAATAAATAATAGATAAACAAGTAATTATATTACTAAATAATGTTGCTGTTAATGTTGGTTTAAAAAGAAAAGGTGATAATATAAAAATAAGAACATGTGATATTAATAAATAACAGAAATATGCATTAATATGAATGTCATAAGAATATCGTACAGTAAATGAATCACCAGTTGTAAAAGAACTTTTACATAAATAGAATAGAATAACAGCTATTATAATACCAATAATCATTGGAATAATAACATCAAAAAGAATATAAGGAATAATCCATCTTAGTGAAACAAATGTTATAGAGAAAATAAATGATAAAATAATATTAAATAAAGTTACAATTTTTGTAATTGCATGATCCCTTCTATTCCATTGTTGTGTTAAACTATGTTGATATTTACAACTTTCATATACAGTTTGAGGATGTAATATAATATTAATTAAAAACCAATCATAATATTCAGTGTTTCTTCCAATATATTTATAATATAAATTTGTAATGGATTGTAACATAGTCTTTATTTAATATACTTTTTAGATTCTTTGTTTTATTTTTTTTTTCTAAAAATTTTAATTGTTTTTGTTCTGAACTTTCCAATTCATTCCTTTTTAACTCTATATTAATGAACCATTTATTTACTCCATCTTTGGATGTTGATTTCTTATTTAAAATTGCTGACTTTGATGGAGATGGTAAAATAGGTGTGGATGATGCTCAACAATTCTTCCAATACACTCACCTCCCTCAAAATACATTGGCTATCATTTGGACATTATCTGTTCCACCAAAAAAACCAATGGAAATACCTCAATTTGTGACTTCATTAAAATGCGTTTCATTTGCACAAAAGGGAATTCAAATTGATAAGACTCTACTAACAAACTCAACTCCACCTTATCCGTCACCAAATATTCAATGTCCATTTCTCCTTGCCTCATCAAAAATTAATCAAACACTCCAATCTTTTAATCAGTTTGTAACTCCAGATAATCCAAAAGTATCAAGTTTGTTTCTTTTCATTAAATATAATACTTCATCCTTATTTTAATCTTCTTTCATCTCTTAAACATTAAGTTCATTTTATTTAGAAAATCAGTTATTTGAAATTGTTATTCAACTCAATGGTGTCATTAATATTGATGAACTTATGAAACTTTCTGATATTGATCGAGACTCACAACTTAATATTATTGAATTTTTCATTGCTATGGCTTGTTTAAATCATTATGTTCTATTTAAAAAATTACCAATTAAAATTCCCGTTTATTTCATCAGTTTTCTTGTTTGTCTTCTATTCTTTCTTTTTATATTCTTTCCTCATCTCATTTAGAAAAAAAAATTTGGTATAACAGAAAACGATATATTCAAATCTTCACATTCTTTACCTTCTCGTCCAAAATCTTTATCTCGTAGTGTCCCAACTCTTTATTTAGAAAGGAAGCAATCTCCAATAATTGAAATCTCTTCACCTAAATCAATACAAAAAACTTCTCCTAATGATAAAATAAAACAACAATACATATTACATCCAATTCCAAGTACAGGAACAATGTCTTATGACAATTTAATCACTCCAGAATTACGTCATCGTGGTTCATTACCAATAAAAGTTCAATCAATAGCTTTACCTATTACTTCAACAACAATTTCTTCTCAAACAAAATCATTAAAAAAGAAGAAACTTTCTTCTTCAAATAGTGAGGTATTTACAAGTGATACTATCCAAGAAACTGTAAAACCTTCTAGTTCAAATCGTTATTCAATGGCATTTACAAAATCTCCAATTACTTCTCCTCAAAGTCTTCATAGAAAATCTTTTCAATACTCAGTATCACCTTCATTGTCTCCACATAACAATGAACCATTATTAAAGTCAGATCTTATTTATCAATCATGTTCTGTGTCTCCATACTTATCAGATGAAGAATTAACTCCTTATCAAAAAAGTAGAAGACATTCAATATTAAATATTGATGACAACACATCTTTTCCTTCTTTTTCATTTTCATATGACTCAAGTCTTTCTATTGATTCAACACTTCAGTCTTTTGATATAAAAATGAAACCTCATAGAATTTTAGACTTAGACAGTATCATATCATCTCTTTCTACACAAAAAGCAGAATTACTTGCTGATATTACAGAACTTCAACAAGAAATTGATAAACTATCAAATGTACTTGAAAGTACTGAAGTGTTAGTTCAAGAGAATTCTTCACAATCAACTGAAGAATTAGAAGGTTATTAATGTCTTTTCAATACCATGTTTTGTCACTCACATTCTTTCTGTTCTTAATTTAATTATAGTTTAGTTATAGTTAGAATATGGTTATTAAAATAGAGAAAAATAAAAAGAAGGAACTAAGAAATTGGTTATTTATTATAACGAAATGATATCTTTTAGAGGGATTTGGATTATTCAAAGGAAACGTAGTGACTTTATCGATCGAGTTGAAACGTCAACATCACAAAGTGAATTTTATGATTATTCTGTTATCTTTTCAAAACAATTTCCGACAGTTAATCAAAGATTAAAAAGTTTACAACAAGAGAGATATAGTAATCTTCCAAAAGACAATGAGATGTGTGATTATCTTAAACAAGCCATTGAATTTTCTACACATATATCACATGAAGTTAAAACAGAAGATACAGTAATTATTTCTCCTGATGCACCAATGATTTTTACACTTTCCTTTTTAGGAAAAGATCCAATTTCTTGTGTTTATTCAGTTAAAAACAATTCAACATTTTTTATTACTATTCCAGCTGTATTATCACCTTCAGAACAAAGACATTATATCAAACAAAAGAATATATTAATGGGAATAAGCTTTTTAGAAGGTATAGAAAAATTATGTGGAAAATTTTTTGATAGTGAAAAGAAAAGAACAAAAGAAGAATATAACCAAGCATTAAATTATGAACTTGCAAGAAAATTACAAATAAGTTGTCCATATGGTACTCCAATAGAAAGTTTAGATAGTGAATGGATTAAATCATTAATTAAATTAGAAGATAAAACGAAAAAAACAAATAAAAATAATTCTAGTATTAATAGAAGATTTAATATTTCAGAACTTTTATTATATTCTAACGAAGAAAATACTCAAGATGGAAATTTGTCTATCATTGGATTTAAAGGAGTTGTTCAAGCAGAATTAAATCTTCAAGGAGCACCTGAAATGTCATTAGGATTTTGTATTGGTAAAGAAGGAAATGTGAATTTAGACCAAGTTATACAAAATTTATCATTATATTATTCTGCTATTCCAACTTCAACAATAGAAAATTTTGCTACTGACATTAAAATTTCTCCACCAAATTATCCATTTAATTTATGTTATTATAATGTTAATCCTGAATTATCTATATCTAATACTAAAACTATTCAACAATTATTTACTGCATCTTATATTATTGATTATGATCATTCTGTATTTAAAATTCAAATTATAATTGATGTCGATCCAGTATTTACTAGACTTAAATATGATGTTGTTTCTATAGAAATTCCATTATATGGAGTTAAGTTAGATAGTATTACTAATTATTCACCAGCAAATCAAATGTTTACTCAACCAGAAAAAATAAATGATCATTTACTTACTAAAATTATTAAATTTGATGAAAATAATAGAGCAATTATTGCATTCCAATTCACTGCTGAAATTAATGAAGAAGTTACTGAATATCTTCGAATAAGAAAACCTTCATTTATTTCTGATATACAAAATACTTTTAAACCTCATATTATCATTAAAACAAAATTACAATCTTCATTATCTGGATTTAACATTGATACTAGAAAAATTACTGTCGTAGGAACTAAAACACCTTACCAATTCTCTATTCAACAAGAAACTGCTATTGAAGCTGTTATCTTTGCTAGACATTTATATGGTGAAATTAATCAATAGAGAAGAATATTATCTTTCTCTACATTTAATTTAAATCCATTCCTTTTTATTTTCTTCTTTTAAAAGAACTTTAAATTAAACATAAAAAAAAAAAATCAAATGAACCAAAACAATATTAAATCTCTATTAGAAAATGTTATTCAGTCAGTTGGTGGAAATGAAATTCATAATAACATCATTAAACAATTTTATCAACTTGTTGATCAAAATATAGAAAATAAATTAAATAGTTTAGTTAATGTTCCTTTAGACAATTTAGTATGTGAAACTAATAATGCTATCAATCACTTATTAAGTCCAATATTTCATTTTCTTCTTCCTTTTCTTACCTCAACAACAAAAGAACCAGAAATGAAGTTTAATGATACTATTTTAACTTACTTAAAAAGATTTGATTTAATGAAAAATGAATTACCTGTTTTACCTTTACCCCAAAAAGAAGGTTTCAAAGAAGTTTTAGATCTTCTTGATGTAAGTAAAAAAATTGATGTTAATGGTGATAATATAGAAGAATGTAGTTTTGAGTTAATTTCTTTAATTGATAAAAAAATTTCTCTTCCATCTGGTAGAAATTTATTATATTTTAACCAAATTGAAATGGATGAAGATGATATTGTTATAGAAGGAACTAATAACTCTATTCCAATTCCTTATACTCTTTCTACTCAAACAAAAGATATTATTGAATTTACTAATGCTATCACTTTTGGATTATGTGGATCAAGTACAATAGATATTAATAATCATTTAGAATTAGATCCTATTTCTGTTGGTAAATTCTTTGGTAAATGTCTTCGTGGAGGATTTATGCCACTTGAAAAAGATTTTCTTTTTAAAACATTAACTATGCAAGACCAACGTATTGATGCTGCTGTTTTATTAGGATTAATTATTCAATTTAGATTAACAAATAATCCTATTATAGATGAAATTAGTCAAATTATGCTTAACACTTCATCTATTGGATCTCCTTCATTAGAGAGTCAAAGCCTTGCATTAATTACATTAGCTTTTAATTCACAATCTAATCCTTCAAAAGATAAAGACAATATTATTCTTTCACATTTATGTTCTCCTTTACCAACAAATACTATTGGATTTCATCATATTTGGTCTTCATGTTTTGCACTTGGATGTCTTCATTTTACTAAAGGATTAGATTTTAATCAAATTGAAATAATGAAACGATTACTTTTTGGAACATATTATTCTACATTACAACAATATTGTAATCCAATTCAATATCAAGAAAGTTTCAATGAAAATTGTAATTACAATAATAGAGTTAGTACTTTAGTTGGAATACCTTCTTCTTGTATTTGTTTAAGTCTTTCTTATTTCAATACATATAATAAAGATATTATTCAATTACTTACTATTGATGAATCATTACAAGCAATAGCAAATTCAAGACCAGATGATATTTTTATACGAATTTTATCAATTTGTTTAATTAAATTTGATTCTATTTTACCTTCAGAAGAATGGATTTATTCAAATATTCCTCAAAACCTTAAAAGTAAAAAATTTTGTGTCTTTGAACTAATGAATGCAAAATTTGCTATTGTTTCTGCATGTTGTTATGCTATTTCATTACGATATGCAGGTACATTAAGTAAACCAATAAAACAACTATTTATTCATTTTTTAAATAAATTAACATCTAATTTAAACTGTGCAATATCAAGTAAAAACAAAGAAGCTCATTTAAATATTCCTCATTTCGATAGATATCAAAAAATTATTCTTCTTTCTTTAAGTATGGTAATGGCAGGTTCACAAGACACAGAAGTAATGAATGTTATTAAATCAATTTATCCTATTGTTGATGAATATTTAACTTATGGTTCTTATTCTATTTTATCTACTTGTATTGGTCTTATTAATGCAGGATTTGGTGAATATTCAATTGAACCATCAAATGAAAATATTCCATTATTAATTGCTTCTTTTTATCCCTTATTTGAACCATTCTTTAATAATAATATAATTTATCCAAAATATCTTCAATATTTATCAGTTGCCACTTTAAAGAAAAGAATGTATTATTCTTATAATTATACTACAAAACAATATGAAAAATGTAATGCAAATCTGATTTTATCACTACCAGGTCAACAATTTTATTGTCAAGAATCAATTCCTATTCAATTACCTTCATTACTCCCTCCAATTCAATTTGTTTATGAAATTATTCCAAATAATACTTCATTTCTTTTTAACTCTTTAAAAGTGAATGAAGACGGTGAAAGAGTTCTTAGAGTTAAAGATGCTCCTCTTATTGATTATTATGATGACCTTCCTGACATTCATTCTTCTAATTCAATCATTCAAAAAATGGAACAATCTATTAAAAATACTTTAGACTGGATGACTTCTATCGCTAGAACAAATTATAGAACTCCAATTGATACCCAAATTGTAAAATTACTTATTTATGCTTTTCAAAATTCTAATGATATTAAAATGAAAATTATTGCAGAATCTGTTAATATTTTAATAAATGAATGA